GAAGAGGGCACGCTTTGAAGGAAGAAGTTGGAAGAAGGAACAGGAAAGAGAGCCTTTATAGGATCCTCACGCGCGTGCTTTCAATTTTTCAATTTTGGCCATTCGATGACGTGGCAAGGAACTTAACTTTTTTGAATTCTCCGTTTTGCCCCTTCTTTTTCATGAAATAACGCTTTATTCCCTACAATTTCGATTTTATCACCCGTTGATCAAGCGCATGCATAAATATAATCGCTGTAATAACGGCTCCGTATTAATATTTAAGATTCAATTAAACATGGGGCTAAAATTGAAATTCTGACTCCTATGATTAGGTGTGTACTTTAAAAAAAAAAGTTAAATTTAATATTTAATAAATACATGAACTCAATTATTTTTTATTCCAAAAATATGTAYGCAACAATTTTAGCCATTTCAACTAAAATTTATTCTTTTATAATAAAAATAAAAGTTATTTAATAGACATGCTATTCTAACMTTTGRTTTTGTGTGGATTCGAACTCATGACCTCTTGGTCAGAGACAATTGTCACTAAATGATGACTATTCCGTATTTTGTTGACTGTGTTAACCATATATACTAAATAAAAATATGAAAAATACTTAGGTGATGAYTGGTCAAAACTAATCTTTCTATTGATCACCGATAAAATTTTAACAGCTCCTCAATATTTTAAGAGATAYCCATCGAAATATTGTTCTAATGATAATATAGTTCAAGATATTCATCATTGTCGTATACGAAACCAATGAAATCTGACATAGCAACCAACCTCTAAGTATATCAAACAAGAAGCTTCTCGTTCTATTACACACGCCACTCTACAATACAAACTTTTCTGGACGTCGGGGTTATGTCCTCACAAACCTTAATTCATGACAAACTATAGTAATATGTATTCTCGACGTTAAAAATTGGAGCTAATGTTATGTTTGAATGAATTCTTGAACCTTGTTAAATAACTACTCATAAGTTAAACATCTTATTATCAGAATTTACAAAGTAATGTTTACCAATTTTATTAATTTAAATAGTATGAAAAAGTTGAATATAAATTGTTATTTATCGACTCTTATTTTTAACCAAACGCGTTAAAAAATAGGCCGACAAACACTTGTCAGCCAAACTCTCGAGCATTATTAACAAAATGAAACAACTTCCGAGTGTCGGTTGTGTAATAATAATTATTCAACTACTTGATTATGAAGCTAATATGAAGCACTTGCATTAAAATAAACATTTGGTATGTTGAATAAGTCACAAAGATTCCTCAACTCTTTCAAATTAACCAAGCCATTTCTCTTTTATTCCTCTAATTTGGAAAAAAAAAAAAAGATAATAGGTTTTTGTTCGAATAAATAAATAGCTTAATTTTTTTAGTCAATATACCTACCCATTCTGTCTATAAATGCTTTTGAAATCTTAATTGACATATTTTGGAAAATGAAAAGTCATAGTATTTAAACTTTTATACTTCAAAAAGTTTGATTTACTTCTTAAATTTAGGATAAAAACCCTTTTTTTTTTTTGCATCACATCCTTTCGGGTGCCCATTTAAAACGATGTGGTATCTTATTTCGAGATTGCATCAGAAAGATTTAAGGATAAGGATCAAAATAGATATCGGTAAACGTAAGGAATCAAAACGAAACCTTTCGAGAGTACAAAAACCATAATAGAATAATTTCAAGGATGAAATTAAGGTAAATAAAATAAGATGAGTTGTTCTCCAGAAGGAAAAAAAAAACTAAAAAAATGTGGGTTTAAAAAATTTAACTAGGTTTTAAAAGCTAGATTGTTAAAGTAAGGAAATGAGTAAGCAAAACTGTTACTAAAGAAGCCATTAAATATGAATACACACCAGACTAATGGTCCAAAAGGGTAAAGTAGCAAACAAAATGTACTGTAAGCCCTTATGGCATTGAGGAAAGTAAGCACCAATGATTAACCCAAGTTGAAAAGGAAGCCAATTCTAATAATCTAAATCAAAAAAAATAAAAAAAAAACTCTCAGAACTTTTATGAATGTTTCACAAATATCATTTGAGAAAACATCTAAAGTTAATGTGGCAGACGATAATTTATTCTGAAATTTCTCTCTTTCTAGACTTAATCCAAGCAAACTTCCACGTTAGTCATCACATCGTTCAAGATTCTGCCACGTTAACTTTCTGTTCAAATATTCATGGATGTTTGCTCAAAGGATATTTTTGAAACTTTTGAAAAGACGGGTTATTTTGAAACAAATGGTAAAGCAAATTGCAAAACAAAACCCACCACACAATTGTGAAAGGAAATGTGTCCCCATAATCCTTGCCAAAAGCACATGATTTTCCCTATCTGGTTTCCAAAATGTTGAATCATCTCAAGACAGAAAAAAATAAAGGAGGGGCAGCACAGAAAGAAAGCTGCACCATCAACTGGTCTCCCCTCCCAGATTGGGATTCTCATGGCCATTTCAGCAGCTGCAAGTTAAAGGAGAAATGGCAATGTGGCTTCTGTTTCTGACATAAAGCTAAACAATATTGCTTAATATCACAGAGAGAGAGAGAGAGAGAGAGAGAGAGAGAGAGAGAGAGAAATGGAGCATGAGGACATGTGTAATTAATGAAATCTTGTCCTTGCCTGTGCAAGGCTACCAATATTGCTTAATAGACACCAAATAATATATTGTCTGCAGAGACCCAGCAGGTCCCTTGCTCCAATTTGAATGATAATGAAACACAGAGTTTGCCAATGTGAGACCCACAGCTTCAGTTCTTAATGTTTGTGTATTACTTGTATCTTTTCAAAGATTTCTCTTTTTCCTAGTCTACAAAATTGATCGAATGTCTTTATTTTTATATCTTTAAAGGTCCAACACATCAATTTCTGGATCTTCTTAGAAACTTGCTTTTAGCCCTTTGACTAGAGCTCATAAGATTGGGTTTCGTTTTGTTCACAATTAAACATGAAAAAGAAATAAAGAGTTGCCTTGGTTGGGATGAAAATTTTTAATTAGTTAATGGACAACCGTATCAAAATTGGAGGCCAACCTTCTTTTTTTTAGTTATATGTGGGATTTTGATCAAGAATATATACCTTAACCAAACCAGTTAATTTATGCTCAAATTGCCAATGGCAACATTTTCTATGGGCATAAAAGTTGGTATACCAGAATGAGAAGGTAAAAATTCTTTGCTGTTACGGACGTCATCAAACATGAAACGAACGTTAAAATTTTTGCGAAACAAATCACCTTAAAGTTGAGGAAAAATCCTTTTCTCGTCTTTTTTTTTCCTCTTAAAAAAAAAGTTTACCTTTCATCTCCAAATTTTTTTAGTTCAACAAAAGGTGAGAGGAGAGTTTGAATCTTTTAACCTCTCTTTTTTTCTGGATGAAACATTGAAAAAAAACGCACAATTTTTTCTTGAGTTCAACAAAAGACTCCTATAAGATGTTACTAACATTTTAACCGATTGAGCTATGCCCGAACTTTAAACTTTCTTATTATTTTGTTTTGGTCCTCAAATTTCCATAAATACTTGTTTTGATCTCAATATTAAACTGTTGCACTGCACTTAAACAAAAGTCTTTACAAGTTTATAGTGTCAAGTAAGACTTCTGTTAAATGCGATACAAAATTTAACAGTAATAATCAAAACACAGTTTTATAGAAAGTTGAAGAACCAAAATAAAACACCTAAAGAAGTATACAAATATAAGCAAAACAGAGAGTAAAGGCTGCAGAAAATATAAAGCAGGTGAATACTAAATTCCAAGGGCCATGACGCCCAGTACCTTTGGGGGTTTCCAGATGCTTCACCGCCCGCCTTAGCCCTTACGATTGCAAGGTCTTTTTGTTGATACGTCGAAAAAGAGGATAGTCTAAACTCTAAACAGACAAAGAAAGATCATTGGAGTTCATATTAATCTCACTAAAGCTTTTGATCATCACCTGCACAAGCTGTGTCCACGACTCACTTTAGACAAGTTTCTGCTTTTGCATTCAACCCAAGGGATAGCCTGTCATTAAACTGGCCTTCAAGGACCAAGGTTAATCATAAAAATATTCAGCAAAAGTTATAAAAGGCTTCCCCACAAAGACTCAGAGAACTCAGAAGGTTTTTTTCCAACCCAAATGCTCAATATTGCAATTGATCCAACACGGTTACACTTATTTGTTGCATAGTATCGTGGGACCAAGGAGTTTTGGGTGGGCATGTGGTTCATTTACTCTCTGCTCACTCTAGAATCTAGGGCTAGAACCTGCCCCCTTCCCCCCTAAATGATTAAACGAACTTCTTTAGCAAACTCTACAACGTGGTCCGACGCTTTATCTATTGGGGTGGTTTTCTTTTGTTTTCTTTTTTCACTGGAAAAAGTGACAAATCCGGATCAAATGTAAGTATACTAAAGTACGGATTGGGATGAGAGCTTAGATTTAAAAATAAAGAAAAAGAGAAAAAGGGGGTGCGATGGTTTGGTTTAAAAGGGGTGGGTGAATGGTGATGGTGGAGATCCCAAAAAAGGGTTTGGGATCGGAGACAGCGTCCAAAGAAAGGCTCTATTCCCAACTAAAGCTAAAGAAATAAGGACTAATGGACTAGAGCGATCTGGCTCATGTCTTCTTTTTCTTTCTGTCTCTCTCTCTCTCTGTTGAAGGCCTCGACGAATGACAAGGGCAAGACTGTCTCTTTGTCTGGAAAAACATATTTCTTTCCTTTTCTAACCCCAGGTTTGCCTAGTTAAGCCCGGAGGGTAGGGTAGTCTTGGTCCTAAATAAACAGAGATGGAATCTAAGTTATGCGAATTGCTGAAATTTATGAGTTATGAAGAACATATACAGAAATGGAACATTGCTTATTGGCACAAATGGAAGTAGTTTAACTGGGAACTTGCTTGTTTAAATAACCAACCATTGTAGTCTGGACTCTATTTCGAAACAAGCAGGGATGGTGCAGCAGTGGAAAGTTAATTTATTCTAATCCGATAAAATTTTGAGCATAAGAGCGTTCAAGGCGGTCCTTGCACCTTTCATTCTGATTTCAGCCTCTGAACATCTACCAACTGGTAAAGATCACCACGCTTTTGCTTCAGTAATGGTAGGTTAGTCCTGAATAGTTTTAGCATACTATCAGATGAGAGAGAGAGTTAAATAATGAATGAAAAAACACTTTTTGAAAGTTCTGAAAGACGGATCACCTTCTAAGTTCAATAAGTGAATAATCAATCTCAGCTATGATTATTGCTTCTTCGTGTTCTGTTGTAGCCAACATTTCCCCAAACTGCAACATGCATTATACATGATAAAAGCTAAAACAAGCGCCACAGCCAGTTCATCCATGAATGGAGTTGAAAAGTTGCGAAGTGCCAGTTGAAATTCATATAATATCATGGCTTCAGTTGCAGGATATTAGTGAATAACAAAGCTGAACTTTAACATCGACTTACCGGCCCAACAAGGGTTGAGTGGCCCCAAGCCACATAACCAGCTCCAACATCGCGAGCAGGTGAACAGGTTGCCACATACAACTGGACAACAAAAGCGTCAATGAGAAATGTCGCGTAAAATTGTTCTGTTCACTGACGAGATTGAAAGATCCTTCCTTACGGTTTTCGGAACTATGCATAATGCACTCATTTATATTCATATGTTTTTTTAGTTTTCAAAGACGTTATATGCAATCATTCATTCATATGTTCTAATTTTCATATAATTATTCAGATGTTCTTTTAGTTTTCAAAGATGTTGTATGCAATCATTTATTCATATGTTCCTTTAGTTTTCAAAGACGTTATGTTCAATCATTTATTAAGTAAACGTGCCGCAACATAAATATTACAATAGACAATTATTTTTAAAGAGCAACTTTATGAACAATGTAGTATTATGGTCCAAGGAAATTCAGCTACACAACCAATCATGTCATATTGACACCATCTTCCTTAATGTTGGTTTGTCTGTGCATGACACAGACAATAAAAAAGGGAGACTCGTAGAATACCTGATTATCTGCAGCCCTGCATAAAATATCAAAGCACAAATATCAGTCAAAACAATCAAATATTTCAATAAACCATATTAGAGTATACAATCCTATGCTCTTCCAAATTTTAGTAGGCCCAAAGGAATTTTATCTAAAAACAGAACAGAACCAAAAGAACGAGATTGTCGAATGGTCAAATAACATAATGTGGAGTGGTCACAGTGTAATGAAAGTTCAAATTTTCCCTTTTCCCCTTTTTCTTAAAGGTGACTATGGTTTTCTGGAGGCCTGGCTGCCAGGGGAGGGAATGAGACACTCAAAGAAAATAAAATAAAATGCTTTGCGACCCTTATCCATAGAAGAACCAGTATCCCAGGTCCCAACATACTCCGTACTCACAACTGTTGTACTTGTATTTGTACTTTGTAGTCAATATATCCCAGAAAGAATCTTGTTCTGCATCTTTAGGCGTCATATGCAGAGTACCCATCTTGGTGATCAAATGATTCAAACCCATCTTTTTACTCTTTAATGTGTTCAAAACATCAATACATAAAGTCATGTCAAATGCCCGCTGTAAATGTAGAAATTAMGAAAGAAGTTTGTACCTTGCACGCTGCAATAACTCCCAGTGCAGTGGTCCAGTAGTCATGTTAAATGCCCCAGGATAGCAAATCAAGTGAGCACCTGATGCCAATTTGTTGTTGTCAACATAAAAAATGGCTCAATCAAGACAGTGAACATGGGAATAAATTTAATAAAAAGGTCAATTTTGTTCAGCTGCCACAACAATCTATAAGCCGTCTAAGGAGTTAAAGAATAAATCAGATTCACACATCAAAGATGCAACCTTCCTTAGACCATGTTTATCAAGCCAAAATACACACGTACCCACAATTTCTCTCTGTTATAACAAAATGTAACAGAAGATATCAAATACTAACATAGATGCTGAAAAAGTTAAATCCTCTTCCTCACAAGCAATATCTGCTAAAAATATAAATTCAAATTCAAGCTTAAAGGAAGGAACATTATGGTAGCACTACATCTTTTACTGCATGAGATTAATCATCTCAAAAGGCATAGAGAGAGAGAGAGTCACAACTGTTGACTTGCTGTAGATGATACTTTGGTCAATGTAATAATCTAGAGTGCTAATGAAGGCAATATCCACTATTAGAAGAAAAGAAAAGATGCTCACAGGTGACTGGAAGTTTTAAAAAAATTAATAATAGTAGAAGGACAAACCTCTTGCAGCATATATCATGGCTAGTTCTGGAAACCGAATGTCATAACAGATTCCAATACCAATAYGTCCAACTTCTGCACAAACCAACAAATAGTTATCTTCTCAACAATAAAAAAAATAGTACTTATTTCTTTTGAAAATTCATTATCACGATAGTTAAACTTATCATTATCAAGTGCTAGATACAAGAACCTCCATGGAAAGTAAAAGAGCCACAAACCGACCAGTGTCAACAATAGTAGGTGTTTGGCCTGCTGTAAGGGTCTTAGACTCAATAAAAGTGATCTTTCCAGGGATATCAATATCAAAAAGATGTATCTGCATTTGGAAAGGGCGCGATAAACTTGTGAGTGATGAACTACGAACAAAAAACCATAATCTGAACAAATTAGATAAATCTAAACTACACTAAAATTCTTTAAGTATATTACCAATTTAAGTCTAGCCCCAAGCAACAAACAAAAACACAATAGAAAAATGCATCAGAAGAGTAACTGAAGAATACGCTAAAACATGGATATTCTATATATGAAATGTGCATTGACACGGTTCAAGAATTTACCACCGGAAAGCCGACCACAAATTCTTTAGTCCTTTCAGAACTATCTGGTTATTAAAGGATAAGTAAGTTTTATGGATAACAAGATATCAGATCGAGGGGAATGTGAACATAAAATAAGTGAAACTATGAGGAAAGACATTAAAATTTTACACTAAATAACCAAAAAGATCCATCTAGGCCTCCCGTTATCATCCCCATAGGCACGTTAGGATGATTTTTTTAACTGTCTCTTTAATGCCAATGATTCATAACAAGATTCACAAACCATATACTAATATGATCATACCTTCCTGTGTTTAGCTTTCAGCTTCCCGTCGGTACCAAAAACACAACAGGCATTATACAATCTATCCCCTGAGCGCTCTGCTATTGACCCACCGACTATCGTGACCTTTAAACGACGAGAAACTTCAGATAACATGGCTGTTGAAGGAGAGGCATCACCACCAGCTTCAATGTCCTCGGCATAAACTGGGAAGCTATCATTTGAATAAGGACCATTCCATATTTCCTGTCACAGAAATGTGGATATCACAAAACCACGAAATACTACCAAAGCAGCAGAAAACTAATAATAATTCTCAAAATCCTAAAGCTCACTGGCAGGACAACAAGCTGGGCGCCCTTTTCCACAGCCTCCTCAATGGCCTTACGAGCATGTTCAATATTCCTTTGCTTATCAGACGTCACCGTCAATTGGCATAGCCCGATTTTAAACTACATCCAAACAAACCAACAACACCGGCGCTCAGATTCATGAAACGAAACGAAAATTGCTGATAATAAGCAAGGTTAAACAAACTAACCTTGGAGACCGGAGGGATCGGCAAGGGAAGTGCAGGCGGAGACCTTGCTTGCTCGGGATTGAAGGATGCGGCCATAATCGACGAGGAGTTGGTGGCGTGGAGACGGAACTTATGGCGGAGGCCGACACAATTGGCGGCGGCAGAAATAGCCGGAAATTGAGACGGTAGAAGAACAGAGGGCTGCCGGAAAATGGAGCGGGAGAGGGATTGGTGGAGGTTGAAATTTGTGGAGCTAATCAACGAAGAAATGGCTGCTTTCATTTCACTGTCTCAGAATGTTTTATACCAATCTCTGCTTCGCTACTTGAAGATGGGGCAAAAGGCAAACAGTTTCTTTCGATCCGAGTGGATTCATTGGATTGTAAATGTAAGTAAAAATTCAAGATGAAACGACGTTGTTTCAATGATCAGCACTACCTTATTTATGTTCTACGACGTCGTTTAAAATCATTCCCGTGTAAATTTTGATTGCATTAGTAGTGAAATAGTATGAAATAAATAATAAATTTAGTTCTCTTGTGAAATTGAGGAGCAAAGCACCACAGAATTAAGATTGGATAAAAAAATTAAATATAAAAAAATAGAGACACAAGATTTGATAGAATTTCCAATTGATTTTTTCCTTCAATTTCCATGTATTTTCATAATAAAATTTTTTAGTTATAGACAATTTTAAGTAATGTGAGCCGTAACAGCAATGAGATAAAGTAATGTGAGCCGTAACAAATTGATATTAATAATGGGCAGTAATGAGATACGTGAAATGAAAACGATAAAATATATGACGTATCCAAATTAAATAATTAAAGTATAGGTCAATGTAACACGTGGAATGAATTACCATATAAATGGATAATAATTTTATAATAAGTTCATACGATTTTCTTTTTCTATTTAGTACATATAGTTTTAATTTATTCTCGTAATAGATGTGTAACAAATATTTTTATTTTTCCTAACTGTGCTAATATTCTATATTAAAACGTATAATTGTCAAAATATGAGAAATTTTGAATATCAAGATAGAGTAAAAAAACAGTTCATAGATGATTGAATTCTACTGGAAATGTTAAATTAAAACTTCTAAAACTATATTAATAAAATTAAAACAAATCCCAAACCGTGACTAAATTGAAAATGATAGAGACTAATTGAAATGAAGCTTAAACCACCGAATGTATTTCCCTACGACGTCGTTTAAGTCCTCCCACTGCAGAATCTGATTTTGATTGGTGATGAAACATTCTTTTTCTGGAACCGACCACACCAAACAATTACCTGGCAGCCTTTCGAAACCCAACCGCCGGCGACCAACGGTAAAAAACTACCTCCCCGCGCATTATTTCACCGAACATTGCACCCCTTCCTTCAAAATCTCCCACCCCAGAACTCCCCTCCTCCCTCTCCGGCACCGGCCACCGGCGGCGGTGCTCGAGACGGCGGCCCAAAACAGATAAATCCTCCTCCACATGGCAAATTCAGGGGACGGCGAGTTCCCACTCTGGAAATTGCATCAAAATTACCCTCTCTTCACCGATGACATTCTCAATTTCATGGCCCAAATCAGGCCCACCGCCGCCGAAATAATGGCCAAGGCCGCAGCAGACCAAAAAGAACCCGACACTCCTCCCCTTCCGCCGCCACCATCCGAAGCCGCCGCCGCCGACGTGGATTATTGGGGTTCTACGGCGGGACCCTCGAGTTACAATTTCCCCGGCGAAACCAGTCGCCGGGACCAAGGACACGAAAATTTTGAAACCCAAAATCCCGATCACGGCGGCGGCGGCGGTTACAGTAGGGAACTTTCGATCACCCCTGAATTGGATACATTTCAACCCATCAGTTGCAGTTGCTGCCTAGTTCTCAGAGAAATTGTTCATACCAATGGTTGGTATTGAGAAATTGAATGGGTCATTAAATAAATTTCAAATTAATGTGGTTTTCGATTCTTGATGGCAGGTGTGAATACGAGGAAGCTTGAGATCCATGGAAGATTTGGAATACTGTGCCATGCGATTCTGCAGGAGTATTTTCCCAGCCCGAATTCTTCGAACATCACGCAGTACAAAATGTTTGAGTAAGTTCAAATTTATTCAATTCTTTTTTTTAAGGGGTTGAAGAAATGAAGAATGTTGTTAGTTAATTTGATTTTGGAAATCAGTTTCTCGAAGAAGAGTACGGACGAAGTGAAGCGGTTCATGATGCAGCATTATTTGAACCAGATGTTCGATGAGTACACTGCTCTGCCGGAGCCGCTGTCGGATTTTTATGATGTTCTGTGCATTGGATTGGATTGGGATGATCACAGCCCCACGTTTTCGACCGACAACTGCCCTCTCCCAGTCCCTCTCTACCCAGGTTCCTTCTTCTTCTTCATTTCTTAAACATGGCTGCCACTTGTCTACTGTTACATATCAAATTCAAAAATCCGCTGATTTGAGCATAGCTCAACATGAGTTTGAATCTCCAACTTCCTGTGGTGCATTGAGAAAAAAAGAGAAAAAAAACCTTTTATAATGTCATTTGCTTCCCCTTTCTCTTGCACTAATTTTTTCAAGTCTACAGAGAAAGGACCCTACTTTTTCACCTTCAACGACTAGTTTCTAGAACAATATTTAGGTGTTAATTAGTTAGTAACCATCTCTGTGCTCTTACCCACTTTAATTTGTTTTTTTTTTCTAGTACATTTAAATAATGATTGGTTTCACTAAAAGTTTTGAACTACTAAAAGTACATCAACGTTAGTATTGAATGGTGTCATCACAATGTTACTATCTCTTTATAAACGATTGCAATATCTTCTCATAGGCAAGTGCTTTTTTAGAGTATAAAAATATAAACAAGAGATTAATTTTCTTTTAATTGTAATCGTCACATGTGTTTCAAGTTCTTATAATTTTATTCCTTCTCTATCTAATGTTGACAATAATTTTTTTTGTGCTAATTTTCAAACCCTAACTTCAAATTCTAGATATGGTAGTAATTTAACATGGTAGTGTGATATAATTTCCCCCCAACTAAAGATTAGAATTTCATTTTCTCTCTGATTAACTTTGAAAATCACATACTGAGTTTGTGCTAATTTGGAATCCCACAGTCTGATGAGCATGGATAAAAGATTAAATTTACCTTCTAAGCTGAATTATGGAGATGTAATAGTACTCATTCAAATCATAAACCGAACATTTGTTCACTGGTTCAAAACCATAGTTGCAGAGGGGGAAGAAGACGACGGAGAAGGAGGAGAACAAGAAGAGGGAGAAGATCAAATGCTGCCGGAGCAACAAGATCCGGCACCGGAATCAGGACGCCGGCGAATTCCCCAGACAGCACTGGCAAGACAGGTCAATGAAATTTTCCTATCATATGCAGACAATTTGAATTTGTTCTGTTTCTGAATACGCAAAATTCCTCTGCTTTTTCCGATGGGAGCAGAGGCAGAGGGCCGGGCGGATGACGGTGAACGATTTGAAGGACTATCTTCACCTTCCGATCAGCGAGGCGGCGAAGAAGATGAATCTCTGTCTCACCGTCGTCAAGAAGATCTGCCGCCGGAGTGGCCTCCGCCGCTGGCCTTACAGAAAGGTCCATTTCTTTTCCATTTCTTCCATTTTCCCCCCACGAGTTTCCAATTTTGCGAATTCTTCTTGGAGAAAAATGGGATTTTTGTTTTGTGTTTAGGTGAAGAGTTATCAGAGGAAAATGGGAGCTTTAGGGACGAGATTGAGATCTAGAGATGCAGAGACGAGGAACAGAGCAGAGGCCGAGATGGAGAGGCTGCGCCAAGAACTGGCTCAGTTTTGCGCCGGAATTGTACCTGCTTAAAACGTCGTCGCTTTGTAATTCCTATTATTTAGATATGTTATTTGTGGGGGTTTTCTTTTTGATTGATTAATTAGAATTTAGAATAAAAGAAATGTATATTGTGTTGTACGGTGATTTAATAATTAACACATTTTTTCTTCGAAATTTGATGGTATTAGAAGTACAGCTTGAGCATAATTCAACGCTTTATTTGATGTTATTAGAAGTACTTTTATCGAACCAATCTTGAACATAGTTCAACGTTTTTATCGGCCTTTTAATTTAGCACGATAATATACTAATATTTTAAGTTTTATATCATCTTTTTTAAGAAAAATTAATATTTTCTTAGTCGTAAAAATATAGATAATATAATATAATATTTTAATTAAGTGAATATTTTAATTAAGACCAATTAATGTAAAAAAAATTTTGAAGTAAAGGATGATAAGAGAACAAAGGTGAAAGAAGCTATTTCTTAAAAGAATATTAGAACAAAATTGAATCAACAAAAGAAAAAATATTAACAAATATTTACCCAAAAATATTTTTAAAATGTTTATATAAGATGAAGGATAATATTGAAACTTAAAGAATGGATTTTTATTTTTTATTTTTTAATTGTACCAAAGTAAGAGATATGAAGTGAAATGATAATATAATGGAAGATCCTTGGTTTAGTCGACTAAGCATATTTTAGTATGCTGGAATCTGTGATTAACTACAAACCAAATCCCATTCTAAATTAAATCACATCCCAAGAGCTAATAAAGTAATTGAAATCGCCAAGGCGTAAACTCCTAAAATCCCACACCATTGAGATGTTCGAAAACATATTCAAGAAATAATCAGATCCAATGCCACCACCATTTGCTTCCATTTAAGCCCCTCAAAAACTTGTTAGTGAAATCGGTCCTTCTTCGAAATCTCGACAATGGGCAGCCTTCAAACGGTCGTTTGTGTCAAAAAGGTGAAGCAAGAAGCCATGGAGGACTGGGACGAGACCATGCCGCTTCCGGGAGATGTAATTGAAGGCGTTGCAGAAGGTGACGATGACGAGCTGTTTGTTTCGGCAAAGGCCAAGTCCGATCTCAGTGCCCATTTGGGCAAGATCAACCAACAGTTTGAGGTTGTGTGGCTGAAGGTGAAGCGTGGGGATGCCACACTTAAGCTAAGAGCACGTATCATCCAAGAGAAGGTGTCGATTCTGCACAAAAAGTTCACCATTAGAGCTGCAACCGATGATCGACATGTTGCGGTACTCGGGGATCTCACGTTGGACCAGTGCTCTGAATTGCAGGGTGGGGTGGTTTTCCCTCCATAGTTGTTCGCAAGTGACAAGTAAACAGAAATTTGAAATTGAAACCTAACAACAGAGTTTGATGTTGCAGAAATGAGTAGAAGAATATCAAATCCAGATGGTGGGGAATTCAACAGAAGAGGTGTGAAGTATGAGTGGAGGAAGAAACTCGCCCTGCATCTTCCCGATCATCGTTCTACGGTCATAAGCTCCATTCTGTTCAATCCGCTGGAGGGCGAGCACTCCATCGAGGCCACAACTAGCCGGTGTATGGCCTGGTTTTGTGCTGCAGTTTCTTCAGGAGCACCTCTTGTCTTTGTCAATATTCAATCAGAACAGATAGTTAACATAACTCCGGTAATAGTGACATCCTCTTGATTGTTGTATGGTTCGGCATCATCGCTCCTTAATATCCCCATCTGAAAATTCGAAGTCGATTCTCACTTGTTTGTTTGGTTAAAAAAATTTCTTGTTATGTAGGAAAAAAATAAGAACACAGGAAAAGAATCATGGTGGAGCGGCAAGCAACAAAACAACACTCCAAACCTGAAGGTCGTACATGGGATAAGGCTATGGTTTCTGCCTGGAATATCAGAAGTTCCACTCGAAATGGTTCCTGTGCCTGGGGAAGTTCGATTCGGAATGGATATCCAAAGAACCGAAGAGGTAATTGACGACCCATCTCATAACAGTTCCATTTCCTATCTCATATTTCGGGTTTCTTTTTTTTCCCTTTTCGAACCAAGAACTGACATAGAAATGTAACGGAAGAACACTTTTCTTATAGAGAAAGTAAACGAGAAACAAGAAACATAACCACAAACGAGCACTATTAGTAATTAACTGTTCAATTCAAAACAAGACAAGAAATCCAAAAATTCTTACAGGCAAAACTTGAGGACATGGCCATTTTGTGCAGGGTTTCATCTGTGTCAGTGCAGTGACAAAAGGTTCCGCCGCTGACCGTTGTGGACTGAACAGCCTCTTGGAAGAAGCAAAGGCAAACAACTATCTCCTGTTAATTTCTCGATTAGAAGGAAAGAGTGTAATCCCATCAAACGTAAGCTCGACCGGGCTAATTCACTGCTGCGACCACTCCGAGATAAGAAGCACTCTTGTTTCTGCCATGGATAGAATGGACAGTGTGAAGCTCCATATCATGGCTTTGCCTGAAAGTTCTGATGCTGCTCAAGCAAATGAAACCTCTAAAGCTTCAAACGACCCAAAAATTTTTCCGTTAAAAGAACATCACAATAATCTTAGCATTCAATATAATGTAAGCTGAATGAAAATGCATGTAAAATAGGTAGCATTTGAGGATGGTGTCAAAATTTTATTTTCAACTTTTGAAAATAAAATTTGTTTTTCAATATCGAAAACGTGTCTGAAGGTTTGTTTAAGTTATAAAAGTACACACTAACTTGAGAATGGAGCGAAAAAGTTCTTTCTAATGCATTTGTAAGCAGTTCGAATAAAAACCGTTTTTGTGAGTATGCTCAAATGGAGGGCAATGACATTTCACTTTGATCATTTGTTACAATTAAACGAAAACAAACAGGAGTAGAATCCCAGTCCGATCAAAGCAATGACATTTCACTGTAAGGAGAGAGTCCAAGCAGAGACATCAGACTAATTTCGACACAGTCTGATCAAAAAACAAAGAGATCGAGAAACTAAGCATTATCGTAGTTCTTCAACAAAAACAGGAGGAATATACTTATGTGGAATCCACCCTCCTCACATCAAAGATCCCCCAAAAAATGCATACAAGAGTACTTCAGTTAGTCCATGACTAAATGGATACATCCCGAGCCTCAATGTTAAATCCACGTTCTCATGTAATCATCTCTTTACGAGCATTCAACACCCACAATCCATTTTGGCTTGACTAATGTGACATTAGGAAAAGTAAGAGATTCCCTGAATCGAATGCTATAACTTCTAATTTTAACTTCAAATTCTCAGAAGTAGAAAAAGGCCAGGAAGAAATAAAAGACATGGAGATGAGTGTTCACCTGTTGAKAGATGTGTAGGCCTGCCAATTTTTTCCTGATTATTGTCACATTCAAATTCTCAATCCTCTCTTCGTTTTTCGTGCTTAATATAGACAGGGAGTCATCCACACTTTCCAATTGAAGAATCCGAACGAAACCTCTGAAAAACAAAACAAAGAGCAGATTCAATTCAAACACCGAATCACTCTCTCTCCCTGCATATTAGGAGAGGAAAACAAAGATTAAGTATCAAATTGAAACAACAATGTTGAATATAAGTATATAGAACAGTAAATATGAGCAGTCAAAAGTAAACAGTGCGAGACAAGAAATTTAGCTCCTCACATTCATCAACTCTACTGACTTGTAGGAAACAGAACCACAAAGATTGGTAGCTACAATGAACAATAAAGAAAATCACAGATCCACGTAATGATGAAGAAAGGCGAAAAATGAAGTGTTGAGCCCATCTAAACCTGTTACTTTGCATCATTTTGTGATTGGAAACTTCTGAAACAGTACACATCTGTTTTTCTACTAAAAAGTACTTTTCCTGGTAATCATGCCATGCCACCAAAAAGTGTTTCCACAGGCAGCACTTGAAGGAAGAATATCCATGGAACGAGTCCCATAAACATCAAATTCTGAAAGCAATACACCCTAATCCTCTTAAGGATTAACATTAAGGAAAGAAGTAGTAAACAGATTCTTCATCCTTACAACATAACACACACTAAGATGGAAATAAATAACAATGGGTCTCTCACTTAACAAGATGTCATCAGTATATCTTTCTAATTTCAAAATTCAAAGAAAATTATTCTGTTAACTCAAAAGAAAATTATGAATTCTGTTAACTCCACATCCGCAAGGGGTGGCTCTGATGGTAATGGCTTGGAATATTTGAAAATTTCTCCAGGTTCTTTTCAAGTCTCCAGATAGAAAACTTAACACTTCAGAATTATTTTAGTCTCCGCCTTAGTGCTTCCTATATATTAGTGGGGTAGGTCATGAGCATAGTGCGGGGAAATTCAATAGTAAAATTTCTTACCCACCATCTTCCCAAAAACAAATCTTACCATTTCAAGTAACAGAGTTTGAAAAAAGAGTTAATACTTTAAGAGTTATCATTCTTAAACAGGTTCAGTTTAGCCTTCGAAATTTTCAATTTCAGTAGGTGAATTTCTAGTAAAAGAAAGATCAAAGAAAATCTTCAAATCTCAATGATCGCGATCTTCAAATAGGTGTTTCATATGGAAGATTATATTACTTAGAAAGATATAATATAACTATTAACTCGTCAATGACTAGTTTACATTAGCACAAAATTTGTACAAGATAAGTTAAAGGAAAAAAATGAATTACCTTATTGCTGAGGTATAAGCATTACAAGTTTTCATGCCATATTCAATAAGATCTTGAAGAAAGTCTACCCAGCAAAAGGGGAAGAACTTAAGAAAAAGGAAAAAGGAAACAGAAAAAGAGCATACATTATCTGTCTCTAGGAAAATATCCAAGCCATTATAGCCTATGGTCAGAAAATGGCAATCATGTAACTTGCAAAAGTATCCTTTCTATATCTGTCATCATCTTCTCAGGCGATCAGCTCAAACAATCTTGGTTCTTAGCAGATAGCCGTTTGAGAAACTCATAGGTTGTGATCATGGTGGTGGCCGACATGGCCATCGAAGCCCACCTCGGCCCAAGCCCCCGGTAACAAGCATTCAGCCCGCCTTCCTTCATCAAGTTTCTTATGGTCTGCAACGTCGTTAGAGGACGTCTTTGCCCGTTTTCTTCTCCATCCAAAACTTGCAGTCTAGTCTTGATGGTATCCAGTGGCATAGTTATGATAGCAGAAACCCCACTGGCCATGGCTGCGCTCAACCCCTGCACTACCACTGTTGCCTTAGAGTGTGCTTTAAAGCCATAGCCACCATTAGAACAACTCTCATCCTTCTTACTTTTGTAGTAGCCAAGGCCACTCCAAATGAGCCTATGAGCTACAGAGTAAGAAGCCCACCAAACTGCATTTGATGGAGCATATGTCAATATTGAAATACCAAATCCCCTGTATAGTCCTCTCAATCCATCAGCATAAACAATCTTTCTGAAAGCATCAATACCATTTTTATAGACACAAGAATTAAGATTAGAGATACTGTTCTTGGCACCAATATTGCAGCCCTGAACCATTAGTCTTTGGCTCACCACATCTATTGGAGTCCACACCAATTGGGCAGCCATGGCTGAGCTCAACCCTGCAGCTCCATTAGCTATAGCCATGGCTGTGGTGTCTGAAAAACCTAATCTAACCGTGGCGCTTCCAACACCACTCTTGGTAACCTCAAGGGCTGCCATGTAGAAGGCTCTAGCTGGGATGGTTCCCATTAAAGAGGTTCCAAACCCCCTGTAAAACCCTCTTAAACCTTCATGGCGCATGATGGAATATGACATTTTAAAGCTTGATAGCTTGGTTGCTGAAACCTGTAGACGAGTTTTCAGAACAACAATTGGATAAAGGGCGGTTGATACACCTGAAAATAAAGCAGCACCCAGAAAAAAGAATTTGGATTTGTCCAGCATATCCCAATCAATCTCTGCTGGAATATGAATCTCTGAAGTTGATTCATCCTCCGCTGCATCCAGGCTCATCTTAGCCAGTTCTAAAACTAATCACAAAAGACCCCAGAAACTGGATGAAGCGTCTTCTTAATCCCACTCTGTAATTACAGTTCCTGTTGCATCTGATAGGAGCAACTTACCAGAAGAAAAAAAAAAAACCTCAACGATGTAATACAGAAAAGACCCAAATGAAAAGGGCTCGTTTCTTCCTCAAACTAGAGACGAAAAATGAAAAAAAGGGAGATCAGAAGCTGAACCACAAGCGAGGATGTAGTAATGGTGAAAGTAATTATGTTTCTCTGTTAATGGATATTCAGATCATTGGGATCATGGGGGTTCTTCTTACAAAAGGGACAACCCAAATCCGCAAAAGAAAAGAAAAAAAAAGTTTTGTCTGATTTCTGCACGAAATAAACACGAACCCACGTAGAAAGAACTCCTAATTTGAAAGGGAGAAAACCCAGAACGCAGAGTGGAAGGATGAGAGCGGAAATGGAGGCGAAGGAAAGGAAATTAAAGAGCTCAAGTACAAGGAACGGACAAGATTTATGGAGTTTCGCGAGGGTTTTGAGAATCGAGGAGGGTGGACACGTGTCGATCACCATGTCGAGGTCTTTTTCGAAATTAGCCTCCTTTAAGGTTGATGAACTCCAAGAACAAAAACAAAAGAAAACTCTCTCTCACGCTGTACTTTGTTTTGTAAGCTCCATAATTCTGTGGGTTATCCATTTGGATACCGTCACTGTCTGACTCCTCGGTTTACGCTGCCATTGTCACTTCTAAGTTGACACTTCCTTTGAAAATTCCAAAAATCACTTCTTCTTTTTTTTCTTTTTCATTCCCCCTTTGGATTTTCCCTTAATCGTTCTTTTTCTACAATTAATGTTCAAATCCCATTTTTGGGGTGGTGAAGCAGAAGCAGAAGCAGACGCAGGAGAGTAGATTCTGCTACAGAACCAGATCAGATCAGCACACAGTTTTCCACTGACAGTGATGATCGTTCATCTTTTTTTGTTCAAAGGGTTCATCAACTCCGTGCAGTTCTTTTCAAAAAGTTTACCAATGGAAATGGCGACGGCTTCGTCGATGTTGCTCAATCTACAAATCCATGGTCCGTTTTTTCGCAATTAGGGAAACCACTGGCTCTCGGTTCAAATTACGGCCAGAAACGAGGGGGGAGCGTTCATGGGAAAATGGAATTCTGTGGGCTACGTATGTACAAAATTTGGGCCGGTATTCCCTCTCTGGCCTGTTATTCGTCATCCATTCCCAAGGCCCACTATCGAGGTTGGGCCTTCTGGGCCATGTGCTGGGTTGGGCTTTGATTGGTACATATGTCAGAATGACGCTTTCGCTGCTTGCGAAAATGCCACGTTGCTTCAGGTGGAAGACACGTGGAGTGACTTCCTAATGGACAGCCACGTAGCATCGTCTACAGATAAAATTCACCGTTTTTTTTTTCTTTTTTCTTTTGGTTTTTCCTGCAAAATCACCACCTGTTCTCCCAGTTTTACGGCTCTTAGCTTCCATCAAATAAGCAAAATCAACCTGGTCCGACTAGAAAAAGAGAGAAAAAATCTATGAGTAAATTTTGGTGTCTGGAACTATTTGTCTGATTGAAGAGGCTGCTAAAACAATATGGCTATATATACTAAAAAATAATTTAAATTTTATATTTCGAATTTATATTCTTGGAGTTAAATTAATTTTAAATATCTATTTAACTTTGTCTGGATTGAATAATTTTACCTCTAACTTCAAGATCTTATTTGATTCTATCGATATCTCAATTTCACATATTGAGATACATATTTTTAGAAAAATTATAAAAATAAAAAATTCAAAAAAATATTTAAATTAACCAATATCGTTTCCTCAAAAGGATTAATATCACTATTATGTCTATATTTGGAAAACTTTTACTGATATTTTTTTTATTTTATCGATTTTTTATTTATAATATTATTGAAATATTGGTTTACCCCGTGTGAATGTCAAAGCATATAAATATAAATATCAAAGTTGATGATATTTAATACCCTGTTTGTAACCCATTATTTTTTTTACATAATGTTTATTATTTGTAACAAGGGCAATTGTCTTGTCCCTTTCTGATCCGATTCTTATAAATAGAAAGCGGAGACGTACGCATCGATCAAGAACAACTCCCACCATTACCATTACCAAAATGGAGACAACCAAAGTGGGCGGTTTCGACCCCATATTCCTCAACGTCCTCCACGACCTGATCGACTTCACGGACGAGCCTGGGCAGAGCGGCCACCACGCGCCGTCACGCGCGTACGTGCGAGACGCGAAAGCCATGGCGGCGACTCCGGCCGACGTCGTCGAATACCCGAACTGCTACCAGTTCGCGATCGACATGCCGGGGCTGAAGCCGGACCTAATCAAGGTCCAGATCGAGGAGAACCAGCAGCTGGTGGTGAGCGGCGAGAGGAAGAGGGAAAGCGAGAAGAATAAGGAGGGCAAGTACGTCAAAATGGAGAGGAGGCTGGGGAAGTACTTGAAGAAATTTCCGCTGCCGGAGACCGCCGACGCCGAGAAGGTGTCGGCGGTGTACCAGGACGGGGTGCTGTCGGTGACGGTGGAGAAGAGGCCGCCGCCGGAGCCCAAGAAGGCCAAGACTATTGAGGTTCAAGTGGCCGGATGAGTTCGTGAGGTATAGAATTAAGGCTTGTTTGGGTTTCGGATTTCAGAGTGTGCTGTCATTTCCCTGCTGTAAATTGTAAAAAGCTGTTGTAAAAATAAAATAATAGTAAAAAAAATTACGAGGGTTTAATATGTTTTACAATCAAATTTGATTGTGTTGAGGTTGAAGTTATATGGTATCTCGGCTCCTATGCCTATTGTTCGAAGATGCCTAACATAGATAAATACAACTGTTCTATTAGGAATTAATCAGGACTTTTCAGCTTAGATCTTTACCGCGAGGAGCTACTCTCGGTTTGTTCCGCTCGCAACAATCTAATTAGTTCTCATAGATAAGATTCTCTTATCTCCATTTACATCTCAACAAAATTTTTCATCCCAATTACCCAATTAAAATTTTTCATCCCAATTACCCAATTAAAAGTGCTTGAATGAGAGTAGTAACGAGTGAAAGTTTTTCAAGTCGAGTGACTATTTGGAAAGTTTTTCATGTTGCACCTATCCTTTAGAAAATTTTATCCCATTTAATTCTTTATTTTAAATTATTTTCAATAAATATTTTCCTAAAATAATTTTTATATAATTCCTAAATTTTTAAAAGTAAAATTTTATTCACAATGTATAGTTCTTCTAAATATATATATTAACTAGATGGATAGAAGAGAATACATTATTTTTTAGTATCTAAATATAGATATTAGAAAAATGATGTGGGGCAGGGAAAAAATTTCATGTCATCCCCGCAGGCTAAACGACGATTTTTCATACCATGTAGATGGGTCCCGTTCTGTGTATTTCATCAATAGATGAGGTAGTTGTCATCTCGTTGATTGGATTCGGCATTTGATGGCCCACCAAATTTTTCTAGAAATTAAATAATCGACGCAATTACTGAAATGGCCTTTGTTTCACAACAGTTGAGTTGTGAACTTTAGGCTTTTATTAATTTTTATTATTGAATAGAATAATATTAAAATTAAGGATAATTTTAAAATTTCGATTATATTTCTCACGTTACAATTTTATATCAGCAGTTTACCAATTGATTAAAGAAATCGAACTCTATTGATTAAAAATAATAAAATTTTGATTGGAACAATTCTTCAAATTCGCTCGGTTTTAATCTTTGTGATATGGCTTTAAATCACTTCCAGTTTGAGAAGTTCTTCCTAAAAACCCGACACTTCCAATGTCTTCCCTCCGCAATATTCTAAAATGGCAAGGGTCGTAATTGTCATTTCCACTCTCTTCCACATTCTAGAATTCCAAAGAGGAACACGACCGAACCTCCTGGAACATCCTTCCAATTCTTCTCCATCCTTCCAGAAAATTCCTTCTTTCTGTTCTTCCAACACACACCTATAAAAGCCACATTGGCCATTCTCCATTTTCCGCAAGCAAAAAGTTAGTTCCACAAGATCGCCTACTGCAAAATACAATCAAAATTTCTCCAATCAAGAAGAGGAAGATGGATTTCAGGATCATGGGCATGGACTCCCCGATCTTCTCCACCCTCCAGCACGTGATGGATCTCGCCGACGACGGCGACAATAAGTCGTTCAACG